TCGGGAATAATGGGTCCTATTTGTGTATTGATTTTGCTTACATCTGATGAAGTGACATGATGCATAATTGATGGGAGCTTTGTTCTGGGTTTTGTGTCTCTTTTCTCAGTTACTTTCTTGTTAGGTCAAATAGGAGAACCGGGTCTTATCTTGCAAATAATTTTTGGTTAAAAACCAAAGAAAACTTATGATGAGGCATTTCTGTTTTACTCAAAACATAACTGCACAATTCCACAGATGCTTATTAGTATTACACAATATTTTCTAACTTTTAAAACAAATCTTGCTAGGTTTAATAGAAGGTGAAGACTACAGAAACAAATGCACAAAAATGGTTGGAGAAATACCAATTTCCAATGCGCCTTTGTGTCACCTTGAACACCTGATGGATTTGTAATTCAGTTGGGCCTTGAAATGCAACTTTTTCCCAGATATCTCAGCACATTATTCTACTTAATTCAGTCAAAGATATAATTCTTTCTTTTCTCTGTAGATGCTGATGGATCCCATGGGAGGCATTGTAATGACAAATGATGGAAATGCAATCCTGAGAGAGGTAAGAAAGGGACTTTCAGGTTACATGAGTCCTGATCAATGGCTGTAGATTGAGTGTTAAATATTATTTAATAAAGTGCCACTGAAGTGCCTTCAAGCTAACTTCATTGTGTCATTAAAATCTTTGTTTTGTCTGTGGTGCTTTCAGATCACTGTACAGCATCCTGCAGCCAAGTCTATGATTGAGATTGCCCGCACACAGGATGAGGAAGTAGGGGACGGGACCACATCAGTCATCATATTGGGTGAGTGAATGAGGAAGTTTACTTAAGCAAATGCCACTTCACTACAACATCTTCATAAAACTCGTGTCCTTCAGAGATTTTTATAAATTCAGAAAGATATCTTAGGTAAAATGTAAATTTTTCTGAATCAAATTAGAAAGAAGATCGGTAAAGAGTTACTGTGGAAGGGCTCTTTTTGTCTGTTGCCAACATTTAAAAAAATTTGAGTATTTTTGATTATTTTCCTATTTTTCTTTCTTGTCCTCTTTTTAGCTGGTGAAATGCTAGCAGTTGCTGAGCCATTCCTCCTGCAAGAAATGCACCCGACCATCATAATATCCGCCTTCAGACAGGCCCTGGAGGATATGGTGGAGATTCTAAGGGAAAAAGCTAGGCAAGTTTTAAAAAATGCGACAGGAGGAGTTAGCCGTATAAATCTGCTGAATTGTTATGTAAAATTCCATAGGTTCTTGGCATTTGTTATATTGAATTTCAAGAAATAATCATACAATTCTCCAAAATGTTTAAAACTAGGTTTGTTTTAATCTTGGGTTTGTTTACTTTTAATTTTCAGTGTTCCAGTAGACATAAGTAACAGGGCTGAAATGATGAAGATTGTACAGAGCTGCATAGGGACCAAGTTTCTTAAGAAATGGTAAGATAGCAAATGTTCTGTCAAGGCTTTCTTAAAGCTGAAGAGCATTTTACTTATAATTGAAATTCACAATCAGTCTCTCTAATTCAATTTTCATTAATAAGAAACTCTGTAATACATATTTTGTCATAACAGATAACGAGTGAAAAAGGCTGTACTCATTGTGATAACGTTATTCCCCTCCCCTTCTGATAGCTTTTGCTTTGTCTTAATAGGTCCAATTTAGCCTGTGAAATAGCACTAGATGCTACAGCATGTGTGGCTCTAGAAGAAAATGGGAGGAGAGAAATTGACATTAAACGCTATGCCAAAGTGGAAAAGGTAAGTTGGACAGGAAAAGTAGAAGAAAAAGTAGAAGAAAAGAAAAGTATGATTCGACTTGAAAGGAGATGGGAGAGTGGGAGTGATAAACCTTTTATGTATGTAAAAGTTAATAAAAATGGTTGTGGTTTTTGCCAATATTAGAGCAACCATTGCCACAGTGCTTTTTTCAAATGGCTATTAGTTAAATAACTGAAGACTTTTTATAAAATCAAGGTAATAGAAAGAGTAAAAGGATTGATTTAGTGTTCATAATTGAAAAGAATACACAATTTGGTAAATTATAATATATTATATGAAATGAATGTCAACCATATGTACACAAAAAACATAACTGATCACATAACAAAATTTCTTTTTGTTATGTGGTAGTTATGATTACCTCAATTAAATTAATTATTTTACTATTATACTAAAAAAAAGCTTTTATTTTTGTATGTATCACACAGTAGTGGATACTCCATTGTTTTCATGTAATGTTTTCCACATTGCATTACATCTGTGTGGGTATTTTTTTTTTTTTTTTTTTTTTTTTTTTTTTTGTTTTTCATTATCCAAACACCTTTTTCTGAAACAAATTGCTAACTGTACTTAAAAGAACCGAGTTATATCTTTACTAAAGGTTTTGAGACATACTAATTGTGTATTGCTGTTATTTGTGTAGGTCCCAGGTGGCACAATTGAAGAATCCACAGTACTCAAGGGAGTGATGCTCAACAAGGATGTTACTCACCCAAAGATGAAGAGGTGGGATACTTATATGTTTTTATTCAGTTAAAAAGCTGTGCATTTTCTATCTTGTGGGCAACCATAGTTCTTAAAATGAGCTTTAAAAAATAATTTGCCTTCAACACTATTTACAGCTCATGCCATCAAAGCCCATAGTCAGTTTAAAGCTAAAAAGACAAATTTTGCTGTACACAGTATGTACACGTAGATCATAGATGGCGTGACAGTCACAGAAGAACCTGCATTGCAGAGGTCTGTGGTGCAGAAACAAGTGGTACCACTGACAGTGGCTATCCCAGCACTTGCATTGTAGTTCTTGCTGCAGCCGGCACTTTTAGGAGATTGGTTACAGCCTCTAACATAGGATGTCATACCTGAAAGTCAAGAGAAATTAAATGGAATAGGTTGTCATCTTGTTATTACCTGAAAGTAGAGACGTTTAATCAGATAATTATTTGCCTATTAAATATCATGGGCTTTTTAACTCCATTATGAATGTTTTTTCTTGATAAAGTCAAATTGCTTTTTTCACTCAGTTGCAGTTATGGAATGCAATGAGAATGTTCAGATATATAGCGATTTGAGATCATACATGCCCCATTTATTGTATTACCATTATTGCCAAAAAGAATCAACTATATGTCTTACTTAAAGATCCACTCCCAGCAATAACTTTAGTTTTAAAACAACCATGGGTGCAGTATCTTATGGTGACTAAACTTGAAGAGGGATCTAGTTCTTCCCCACAACCAACAGCTGAGCAAATGTAACAGTTGACTGCTAGACCTAAGGAAGAAATAATTACAATGATACAGTCAGGTCACACCAGGGAAAAATTTCCCTGTATACACTGAAACTAGAATGATATTCTCAGTTATTGCGCAAAAGCTGCCAGTTCTTTAAAATTGGTTTAGGTATCACAAAAAATGCACACCAAATGTTGAAATAAGTGAATTGATTCTAGTGAGACTAAACACATTTTTAACACACGAGAATGGAATTTCCACGTTTCATCAAAGGGTTACATTAGGTAGATAACTTGAGAAACAATTTACTTCTTTCAGTACACAAGTGGTGATAAAAAACCTATTTTGCAGTATATTAAGTGTTGGATGCAATTGGAGTTTTCAGCTTTGAATGTAAGAAATTAATACATGCATTATTTTAAGCAAATGAACCCAAATGCTGATTGATCTGCTTTAAGAAACTGATACCATGTAATTGAACATAAATGAAGAGACACTAAATACTAACCTACACATGCCATAGCTAGAACTACAGCTATTACCGCAGCACACTTCATCTTAACTTTTCAGCTGAGGAGAAAATGCTCTTTGGTCTGCAGTACAACACTGTTTGTGTTGAAAAAGGCTTGGTGTTGCTAGGTGTTTTGGTGAACAACAAAGGATCACTTGTTGCATATTTTTTGCAATCACCCTTGTCTTTCTGTATTTGAGGGCAAAGACAAATAGTAATCTAAATGACTTATGGCTTGTTATTTTTTAAAACTTCTTGTTAGCTTTCCATTTTAATGGGACCTTTTTTTTTTAAAGCTTGGCAGCTGGAAGTGATATTGGCATAGTTACATGAATTTTTTTTATCCTAATGTGCCTCTGAAAAAAATTAATCTTTCTAAAGGTTCTTTTGTATTGTTTTTATCACAGTGGTGCATTTGATA